ATGCCTTCCCAAAGACAAGGCCACAACTGAGGATTGGCAGGTAATTCGGGGGCTCCACTCAGCCTTCCATTCTGAACAGATAGACAGCCTGTGTATATTGGCACATACACACAAGCACGAGACCATGAAGAAAACAAATCAAAGAAAGTCATTTTATACTCTAAACCAGTGTTTCCCAAACTTGACAATTTTAAGGCATGAGGACTTCAACTCCCAGAATTCCACAGCCAGCAACGCTGGCTGTGGAATTCTGGGAGTTGAAGTCCTCATGCCTTAAAATTGTCAAGTTTGGGAAACACTGCAACAATGCGAATACTTTGCACAATTGTATTTTCTTGCATTACTGGAAGAAGAAAAGAGAGCAAATTAATGTGTTTTCCATGGCACATACTCAAATACAAAAGTAAACAAATAGAAAAGTTTTAGTCCTCCCTTAAGTATGAAAGCCAGCTAGGTGATTTTGGGTCAGTCACTTTCTCTCAGTCCAACCCATCTCACAGGGTTGCTAAACATAGGAGATTCACCGGCCTAGTTGAATATTTCATTAAGCCATTATTTGATCATAATTACTGATTAAACCAAAACTAAACTAAATCAGAATTAGATGGTTTCATATGATGCCCTAAAAGCCAACATCAAGCACATACTCTGACTCAGTGAGATTTATTAACTCAACGGCCATCTCTAAAAGTGATATCCGCATAGGATGGAAAAAGGGAAGGAAAGAAATGTTACTCCTGCAATTGCAAATGTAGTCGAAAACCTTTCAGTCAAAACCTTGGCCAATCTCTATCTCTTTGCTTCACCTATCTCAGTTGCCAGTTCTGTTTCCTTCTTGTCCTTTCCTCTAAATTTTTTTTGATGCTGTGACATTCCTGAAAGTGTTGCCTTACTGTACTTCTTGCAACATCTCCTCAACATTGGCACATTCACCTTTCTGTGCCCCCCCCCCCCGCTCTCAGCTGCATTCTAACATGGGCAGGGGATAATGTGCTCAAAACAGAACTGGAACTATGTTCGCTGCATGCAACATAATGCAATTGGAAGTTTGGTAGATAAAAAAAAAAGCAGCTACCCCAGGATGTTTTAGTCCAGTGGTTCTCAACCTGTGGGTTGGGACCCCATTTGGGGTCGAACGACCATTTCACAGGGGTCGCCAAACAACGCAGTCCGCCATTTTTTTCCCCCTTTTCCTTAGCTGTGCTACTCCCTTTTATTCTATTGGCTTTTGAAAGCCAATAGAATAGACTCTCTTGAATAGAGTCTAATTCCATTGGCTTTCAAAAGACAATAGGAATTGTCCAGGCTGTCTCTGCCCTGCTGAGCCCACCAAAAGTCCCATTCTGCAAACGGTGCTGCACAGTTGAATAGTCCTCAACTTTCGACCGGTTGAGTAGTCCTCGACTTACGACTGGTTGGGAGTCGCGGCATTAAAAAGGTTGAGAACCACTGTTTTAGTCAATCAATTAGACTGAATGGAAGTTCCCTACATTGCTCACATGCCGGGTTCCATATGCCATGTAAGGATCAACTTTAGAAGTAGATTCTATAGATTCATTTCATGCATATTAATTCTAATTTTAGCCAAATTGCATGCATGACGCATTTAATTACAAATTGGTTTTTCAATTCCTTGAAAAATCTCACCAGTCAAAACCACTCATCTTCTTCCAAACTAAATTTATTTTTGTGTAGCATTACCAAAATCAATAGCAGTTTCCCTTACCAGAAGAATGTTTGTTCTTCATAACAGGATTGGAAAGAACGTGTTATTTTAAATAATAAAAGAAATATGGGTTCAAGGAAATGACAGCTGTTTTTTTTTCATCTGGGCAGAAGACTTTGAGTGCTAAATCTAGAGCTGAATACCTGTATAGCTTTTTCTGAGCAAATCCTATTTAAAACAAAAAAACAAAAACAATAGAAAGATGTCATAGCACTATCCAGGTCGAGAGTCACGGTATCTATTGATTTAGCTGGTGTCAAATGTTAGTCAGCTCACCTAAATAAAAAGCAATCAATAGTTGAAAACGGGTTTGATGTAGTAGTTGAGGGACCAGGCTAGAAACCAGGAAACTGTGAGTTTTAATCCTGCCTTAGGCACAAAGCCAGCTGGGTGACCTTGGCCCAGTCACTCTCTGCCTGAGGAAGCAGGCAGTGGCAAACCACTTCTGGAAATCTTGCCAAGAAAACTTCAAGGATTAGTCTAGGCATTCACCTGGAGTCAACACTGACTCAAAAGGTACCAAACCAAAAAAAAAAAAAATCAACACTGTAGCATAATGTTCACTAATTAGTGAATGGGTGAGAAAATAAAAATCAGTTGATTTGTGCAATCTTATGCTATCGCTTCTATAATTATGCTCCTTCAACTTATCAAACTGCAAATACAGTATTTGTTAGAGCAGTGGTTCTCAACCTTTTTAATGCCGCGACCCCCCAACCGGTCGTAAGTCGAGGACTACTCAACTGGTGCAGCACCGTTTGCAGAATGGGACTTTTGGCGGGCTCAGCAGGGCAGAGACAGCCTGGACAATTCCTATTGGCTTTTGAAAGCCAATAGAATTAGACTCTATTCAAGAGAGTCTATTCTATTGGCTTTCAAAAGCCAATAGAATAAAAGGGAGTAGCACAGCTAAGGAAAAGGGGGAAAAAATGGCGGACTGTGTTGTTTGGCGACCCCCGTGAAATGGTCGTTCGACCCCAAATGGGGTCCTGACCCACAGGTTGAGAACCACTGTGTTAGAGGATCCTATATTGTCATTGCTATCCCCAATTTATACCTTGTCTATAATTTTCTGCACTTTTCCCTGATTTGCTTCCAAAGTGTTGCTACTTTTACTACAAATGAAAAATAAAATATGACAGAGCAGGTTTTCTTGTGTGTACGCACGGGCATCCATTTCTGCATTGATGAAGGTATATGCATAGGAAATTATGTGTATGACAAAAGGTTGGTTTTAATAACTGCATTAAATTAAATTAAATTATTACATGGAAATTAATTTCTTTCATTCAATTAATGCCCATTCCTAATTTATTCCAAATTTGGGAATCAGGGTTCATTGTATGTGTACGTTTTTCTGTTAAATGTTATAGATTATTAAATGAAGTAATCAGTCACTACTTGCCTTCTAAAATCTTTTTTGCCCCACCCTCTTTTACAATCTCTCTCTCTCTCTCTCTCTCTCTCTCACACACACACACACACACACACACACCACACACATTTTTCAGCCTGCCCCCACACCATTTAAGAAGGCTACAGCAATCTAGTTCTCAGCCTGAGGAAACTGCCCTTGAGACACCCAGTGACAAGGATGATCTGCTTACTGAAAGCCTTCACCATAATGGAGGCAAGTCTAAAGGATATATGAAAAACTCACTGTATGATATCCATAAAAAGAAGCACTTTTTAGAAACTCTCGAAATTGTTTACCCTGAGGATATTGCTGCCTTCCCTCTATTTTGACGAATGTCTCTCTTTGACACCATGTGTTTTCACATCTTCAGTCCCATCTTCCTTTCTCCCTCCCTCTCTCGGTCTTTGAAATATTTTGATTCTTATTGTTTTCCATCTGGAACAGCCTCAGAGAGGCAGGCAGAGAAAGCAGCAAAGGTGCTCTGGTGACAAGGAACTGACACATTCTTGGGAGGCCAGTTAGAGCAAGTTGTCTCAAGCTTCAGCTGTTACCTGAGCAAAGCCCAAGCGCTGTGAAGCCTGTGAGATGGAGCTGGCTTTGTCCTCGCTTTTTCATCCTTGGTAGCTTCTCAAAAAGGAGGCTTATATTGAGGCACATCTTCTGAATGGAGATAGGGGTCTCCACAGGGCGTAGCCAAAAAAGTCAAGATGCATTTGCACTGATAAAACAAAGAGAGCCTTAGTCACACTGTTGTGGCACCACTTGACTTTTCTGACCATATCCTCTGGACATCCCTGGGATAATTATACTGTAAACCAAAATATTAAGTGGCAAAGAATAAATCAAGTCACAAAGATAAAATAAATGTCTACAGATCCTGAAAATTTTAGTGCAGGAACTTACCAGCACATCCTATCTTCTCCCAGTAAGGGACTCTTTGGAAGAGGCACTTGGGACCGATGGAGCTTTGCACCCGATGCAGGCTTGTGTTCTTCTTTCTGCTCACAGAATAACAGCACAGCAGCTTGGCCACGTATATAGAAACCGTGGTACTTTAGGTGAACAATGAAAATTCTCTTTCTCTCTTTGCCACAGGGCATACATTGCAAGAGATTACATTGGAGCTGGCACTTTATTAAGGGCAGTTCAAGTTCAAACTAGCCCACTCTGCTTCAGAACATTGAAAATTAAGTTGAAATTATACTCCTTCATCTCAAAATCTGGGATTTAGCCAAATCTGTTGCACATTCTGAATGAAAGAAACAAATGCTGGCTTCTTGAAATATCTTCCTGTCTTATATATTATCACCCTGTTGTACGGTATATACTGTACAAGGCTGGCTGATAACTAAGAATTCATCATTAATCTTCCAAAATTGAGCAATGCCATCCTCTCAAAGCTCTGTCCTCACAACTTTATGAACTGCATTCATATGAATCTAAAACGAGAAATATAACACTGCAGCATTCTGAAGAAGAGCAAAGAAATGACCACAGCCGCCATACATCAGGATGATAATTTTCCCTATTGAGTTAAAGAGCATTCTTGGCTAAATCTAACATAATTTTCCATTATCCTAACTCAATAGAAGAGAATATATGTAACTCAGGGTTGAACTGTAGAGTTGTTGGTGCTCTCTGAGCTTGGTTGTTTGTTTGAAGACATTTCATTACCCAAGTAGGTAACATCATCAGTGTCAATGTGGGGAGCAAACAACTGTAAGCAAAGAACAAAGCTCAGAGAGCACCAATGACTCCACCATTATCTTAATCATTGGACAAGTCTTGTAAGAATCAGTTTAAGATTTTTTCAAAGGACAAAACTGTATTCTTTTTATTCTATGTACATAAATGAACTGGCAGGTATGGGGGGGGAGAGGAAACAAGGCACAAAATTTAAAATGTGATTAATTTTCAAAACAATGTAAGGTATAATACCAGGAAAACAAAAATAATTTAATATGCAGGCAGGAAGCTTATATAAAAACAATACATTTTGGAAATTGATGAGCCTCCCTCTAGGCTTAATTTGCCTGTCACTCATGGGGATAGTTCTTGGAGCATTTTGAGCTGCTGAAATTAGTGCTGTGGTAAATTTTTCAGCTTCTTCATTTATTTACATTAATTTTGTTCATTGTTTATGTGAACACAACAGAATCATCATTCTGTTTCGTGTAAGATTACCTTTTCATTACAAACAACATAAACCACAGTTCTTAAAAATTAGATGTAAAAAGACCAGAGCGTTTAGCATTTAAAGTTTACCTAGTATTTAATATTTAAATATATTTTATAATTCAATTTAGCCAAAACTGAAAATCTCCAAATGTGCTAGAAAAGAGATGATAGTTATAGTTTAGCACTTCTTAAAAGTCCCAGAGTGGGAAAAACTGGTTGGATGGACCATGTGTGTTTATAGCCTTGGTTAATTTTCAAGTTTAATGCTTGAAATTAAGAACATGCTTAAATTCATGGCTGTTAGGGTACAAAATTTAAGTAAACTAAAAAAAGTAGAGATTCCCTCTCTATCATAACTCAAAATAAGTCTTTCGGGCAATGATTGTTTTATCTTTGAAACCACATTCCTCTAGAAAAATCCACACAAAAGTCAGGTGTAGAAATGCCATTTTAAAAAAGTTATTTCTAATAATTGAGACTAATACTTTGCCCCTTTTATTCATTTTTCCACATAAATTACACAAACACTTTAGAAAATGATTACACAAATAAGTGCATAACTTAAAAACAAACCAAAGAATGCATTTCAGAAACTCACTAAAATATTTGTTTTTGATAAATTGGTTGTGTGCACCATCTCATTTTAAATATAAATGATGCATAGGTTAAAAAGTAACTAAAAAAAACCCCTATATATTTTAGATATTTTGTATCATCTTGGAATTTACTGTAAGAAGTGCTTAAATTAATCACAAGCTTTTTCTCAATACAATAAAAAGAAAACTGTAAAATTACTTTTCAAGAAATGGAAAGAGAAGGATGTTCTGTTTGGTTCTCATCCCATTTTGTGGAGCTGACGTCTTGAGCAAAAGTAAATAAAATATTGAAGAATATCATCAACAATACCAAAATAATCTATCAAGTAAAACTGCATTACCCCTGCAAAATGCCACAGATGCCTCAGAGTTATTAAAATATAAGTTGATCAATGCAGAGTCTGTAGGTAGCTGTGATACTGATTTCAGCCTTCACACGAGAGTTTATGAGGCAAGGTTTGCATTCCTCAGTAATTCTGGTATCAACATTCCTTCAGCAGAAAGAAAAAAAATAAATCAAGGAAAACCCAAAGAGTTCATCTTGGAAAAGACAAAAGGAAAAGGAGCGAGATTTTATTTATTTGTAAAATCTAAAATGTCTTTTAAGAAAAGGGCTCCAAGAGGAGATGCAGGAGTTGTTAAAAAAAAGTTCTTATTCTTCATTCAGAACCGCAATTGTGTTTTTTCTTGAAATGATCAGCACGAAATACTTACATGCAGTGGTGGGAAATACATGAACAACCGGTTCTCAGTGTGGATGCCGCTTCTGGAAGTCCGTTCTGGGCCTGGGAAACAAAAAATTAGCTATCGGTTCTGCCGAAGTGGTGTGAACCGGCTGAAACCCACCACTGCTTGCATGGGAGAACAACTCCTGTGCTCTCAGCAGATAAAATGATATAGCAGTTGTGTCTTGAAAGTGGCTCCAAGGAAGAACCTTGGGTTGTTTTCTCTCTGCAAGAGTTTTCGAAGGTTCCAATATCACCCTTTCAAAGAAGGCGGTGATAGTGATGGTGATGACGGTGAAGAAGAAAGAAGGGAAGCGTTGCCTTTGATTAGAACTCCACTAGACCAGCAATGTATGACCTCTGGGAGCCTTAGCTTGCAAGGGGACACTGTCTGGTTGCTGCCACTGGCTCATTCACAGGTAACCGTGTCTTCTGCGGGTGATGCTGAATAAGGCCAGCCACTCTGTAATACAAGAGTCCATGCATAGGCAAAGTTAAGATTTCACTCACAGGAAGAGGCCACAGAAGTAACGCTGGTGATCTTGGAAGAATCATCTGACCATGGCTGAAGGTTCTGCAGGGCAAACAGGGAGGAATTGTGAACACAGATTGGGTCTGCTTGGATGGGCTGATTGATGGTTTTCTGGAAGGCCTCTTGCTGGAGCTGCATGAGGATGCGATTGGCTTGCTGCCGCTCTGCCTCCCGTTCTTCTGCAGTTTGCCGCCTGAGAGAAATGCACAGAGTATGTCATGTTTCAGCAGGAAAACAGATCCCAGCTGAAAGCAGAAATGCCCCTTGTAAAAGTCGACTCCCATTCCATTTCATCACAACATCTTCCCATCTTTTGGAACATTCTTATGCTCAAGGATTTTTTCTTCCGTAATAGCCAAAATGAAAAGTCACATTTCAGGCAATCTGCTGCCCAGTTATATTAAACATATAACTGAGCATAGAGAATACATGGAATAATCAAAGGGAAAACCTCTTGAAAGACCTAGCCCTTCTGTGAAACCATATAAATCAATGACCATCTTAGTGGCAGCCAATGTTAACCATGGGTTGTCTGAAGCAGCACATTCTGTTCTACCTGCATCTATCCATTAACTATTAATGTCATTGGCTGAATTGCTAGATTTTAGGATTATGAGTGATCAGCTGTATATGAATGTGTGGTTGTGTGTATCTGACTACTCTGTCCTTACACATTCGTATGAGTGGAAAATGTAAAAATAAAAAAACAAGCTACAGATTCTAAACATTGCTCCATCTAGTGCAGTGGTTCTCAACCTTTTTAATGCCGTGACCCCCAACCGGTTGTAAGTCGAGGACTACTCAACTGGTGCAGCACCATTTGCAGAATGGGACTTTTGGTGGGCTCAGCAGGGCAGAGACAGCCTGGACAATTCCTATTGGCTTTTGAAAGCCAATAGAATTAGACTCTATTCAAGAGAATCTATTCTATTGGCTTTCAAAAGCCAATAGAATAAAAAGGAGTAGCACAACTAAGGAAAAGGGGGAAAAAAATGGCGGACTGCGTTGTTTGGCGACCCCCGTGAAATGGTCGTTTGACCCCAAATGGGTTGAGAACCACTGATCTAGTGAATGTTTTGCTTCGTATTTATAAAAAGAATGCCTCTTGTTTTAAAACTGCACCACTATTTCACAGAACAAGTATTTCAAATCTTTCTTCCTTTGAAAATTCATACACTAATCTAGTCCACATCCACCACTCATATGCATCACTCATATGCAGAAAAAACAGATTGGTGCAGTAGATAAAAGACAAACATGCTGGGTACCAACCTGGCTTCCTGTGGTTTGAAAGTTTCAAAATTTAGCTATTGTTAAAATAAAGTCCTGTTTTGTTTTCTCTGCTATAGTTTCACACAAATCTGAGAGACAGATAAAGGCTGGTATAGCAGAATGCAAACCTTAAGGTACACTAAACCTTTAAAGCTTTATACATCATTAAGAATACTTGGAATTTTGCATAAAAACAAACTGCTGAATAAAATTAATTTATTTTCGAATTGTTAAACTGATATTCTTCTTTGAAAGTAAATTCAGTTTAATTTTTATACCATACAGTTCAAAACCAAAAAACTGTTTTTAGTAGCAGGAATGGAAAATGAACACCAACAATAAATTGTGAATGTGTAGTATAGCTCACATTTTCTCTCATGGCACTTCAGGTTATAAACAGGCAAGCAACTCTAGCATCTTGTTTTCTCTTTCTTAAAAACTTTCAGCACTGAAGCCCAAGTTTCATTAAGTTAGAAAAATAAGAAGCAATATGCCTTCTGAATGAAGATTCATGCCAGCAAAATACAGATCAAGTCACTTTTGTATGCTCTAGTCTAGTTGGATATGACATGAAATATCTATAAAACAAATGAAAGGAGTTTCAAATTGCACACCAGAAATCAGCCCTGTATATTAGAGGGAAGTTGGTAGTGGTTTGGTCAAGAAAGTAACTGTGTTTAATGAGGGCTTGCTTTTTCCTAAGTAGCCATGGAACTATAATTGTTGTTATTACTAGAAATTCAGTTCAGTCTATCAAATATTCCCCACGAATGTAGTTTTGTATAGAAAAAAAATCCCAACAATTACATATTCCCTCTATATGCACAAACGTAATAATAGTTTATTGATCTGACAATCATCAGAAATTATCATCATTTCTGACAATTGGGCTGTAACAAATTACTTTGTTTCCAAGGGAGATTTTCTACATGGAAAGCTCAAGTGGATTCTGATATGAACCTGGGAATAAGTAGAAAAAGCAAGCATAACCATGTATAAAAGAATATGAAACATTTGCCAACAATGTGTGTTCACCACTATTCTATTTAAATTGTTGGCAAATGTTTCATATTCTTTTATGGTTATGCTTGCTTTTTCTACTTATTCCCAGGTTCATATCAGAATCCACTTGAGCTTTCCATGTAGAAAATTGGTGAAATCAAAAATTCCAAAATGCTGGTCCCAAACACAAATTTCAATGGAATTTATTTTCAATACATATATTGAGACCTGCATTACAAACTGAAGTTATGCAGGCTTACATAGAAATAGGTTCCATAGAATTAAATGAGATTTCAGACTTAAGCTGTATGCACAAGAAGACCCTTACCAGATAAGGACAAAGGTTCACTGGTCCAGTATACTGTGGCTGATCAGATTTATCTGGCAAGTTTGGATACAGAACATGATGGCAATTACCCTCTTAAACTTTGCTATTCAAAAACAGTATGTACTGTACATGCTGCCTTGAATTCTGAAAATGCTGTCTACCCAGGAACACTGATAGCCACTAATAGACTTATCCACAATTGTATCTATCTCCAGTGAAAAACTTCCTTATTGGTGGCCACCATTATATTTGGTGGTAGCAAATAAATAGATATAAAATATGTGCTTTGGAATACTTTTAAATGTTTCATTGCCTTCTAATACAGGTAGTCCTCAACTTACGACCACAACTGAGCCCAAAATGTATGTTGTTAAGTGAGAAATTTGTTAAGTGAGTTTTGCCCCGTTTTAAGATTTTTCTTTCCACGTTTGGTAAGTGAATCACTGCAGTTATAAAATTAGTAACACGATTGTTAAGTGAATCTGGTTTCCCCCCACTGACTTTGCTTATTAGATGGTCGGAAAAGGCGATCACATGACCCCGGGACACTGCAACCGTCATAAATGTGAGTCAGTTGTCAAGCATCTGAATGTAAATCACACGACCATGGGGATGCTACAATAGTCATAAGTATGGAAAATGGTCATAAGTCACGTTTTTCAATACCACTGTAACTTCAAACGGTCACTAAACAAACTGTTGTAAGTTGAGGACTACATGTATCAATAAGTTCTAGGGCACAGGTGTCAAACTCAAACTCAACCCCTGTTCCATGGTATTCCAGAGATCCAGTATCTATACTGAGCATAATATAACTTACTAATAAGAGTATTTCAGTGAATACAATTTGGGATTTCTTTAAATAACGAAAAATGCAAACTTTTGGCAGTATATGTATATCATAATGCGTAATAACCACCTGATGTAAATTTTATGAAGTATCTCATAATCATCAAACTATGAATATCAACAACCTACATCAACTATCTAAGGAGAAGAAAAATAGATTTGCAATAACAACATTGGAAGGTGGAAGTACTGTAAGGTGGCATCCTCTATAAACTAATTCTTTGAAGCAATCAAACTTTATAGAATCTTGTTATTTTTGAATGCAGACAAGGTTGACTTAGAGTAATAGTGATGATCATGGAGGCAGTTAAAACCATGTTTCAAAGGATTTATGCTAGAGTTGTGCAGAACTAAATGAAGGCTGCACTATTATTGTCAAATGAAACACCTTCAATGAGTCCTTAGCCAAACCAGTTTACTTGTGCCAACAGATTCCCAAGTATTATAATAAGGATAATAGGCTAAGTGGTCCCAGTGCTCCAGATGGGTTGAACTACACACCCCATCTTTACTCACTATATGACCATTGGCTGTGGGTGAGAATACAGGTGGTGGGAACCAGACCAAAAGACTCTATCATACAAATACAAGATAATATTTGTCTCTAGGGATTGAACTGTGGGGTTCTGGGTGCTCTCTGAGCTTGGTTGTTGACATTTCATTACTCAAGTAGGTGACATCATGAAAGTCTGCAATAAAACAATCAAGCTCAGAGGGCATCAAAGAACCCACAGAGTCCATTATGAACTAATGTTGGTGGCACTCAGTTCACAAGAACATACAGAAACTCATGCCACTGTATGGCGCCCAAAGAGATACATAACACCTTTCATCTATTTTGCTCCAAATAACTTCCCTTAATTCTAATTTATTTAAGGACTAGGGAAATAATCAAAAGGAGCAAAGAAGTCCGTAAGATGATGGGAGGAGGGGGGGGGCAAGAGAAAAGAAAAGAAGGGACCAAGAAAAAAAAACTGAAAGAGGCAAAAAAATAAACGGGTTTATAAGAAAACGGTCAGAATAGGAAGAAATATGAAAGGTGTTAGCAGTTCTCTTTCCAGCTCTGTCACTTAATATTATGGTCTGGCATGTGCCAGATCCTGCTTTTCTACCAGAAGAATGAACTGAGGTTCCTTTTCAGACAAGTAAGAAATTATTTGCATTCATCTCTCTCACTTCTTTCTTTCACAATCATTTTATCTTAAATCTGATTCATAAGGAATAGATTCTGGATTTTAGAAATTATTTAAGTAGCAACCTTCAAGCAAGATAGGGAAGACTTCAGGCTTGTTGAAAGCTACTGTCATCAGATGTATCAAGTATTCTGCTTTGACAAGCTTACAATAAAACTGTAGTATCTTAAAATTAATCCTACAATACTCTTAGCTGCCTTTTAAAAACAGAAATCCAGAAAAAAATATTATAGATTACCTGTTTATATTAATTATGTGCCATCAAATTGTTGTTGACTCTTAGTGACCATATAGTTCCTTAAAAATAAATACATTTGATATGTTATTTTAAAGTCTGAAAAGTTCACCAAATTTTATAAATTGTTCGTGTTTCTATCTGAAATGCTTTTGAGATTTTGGACAACAATGCCAAATCTCACAAAATTTCAGATGAGAATGTTAACATCAGGAAAGATTTGACTTTTCTCTCTCTTTCATACCATCATCTGTAGTGATACCATATCACACAGTTATCACCACCCCCACCCCCCAATTTCCATAAAACATTTT